GCGCATAGAGATCATGGTATCAGGTGAAACATAGCCTTTTAAACCTACCAAGTTTTGGACTGCAGTCGGCTGTAGCCATAATCATCAGTTGAAAGAAAGCAAGTCCAAAAGTAAACATCATTTTCTTTCTTTTCAGGGTGAGTAACACTGTTCATACATGGAAACACACAACTCCTTTAATGATTGAACTAATGGAAATGCTGACACTAACTAATTTTCATTTATATTGCATGACAACACTTCATTTGTAATTCAATAGGGTTAATTACTTTTTATCGTGATGCTTTTGAAACAGATTTTTAACAACCTCAACTAGGCTACAAAACTGTTTCTATTCAAAAGTATATTTCAATACAATGTATCTTCTACAATGTCATAACATTAATGGTACCAATATTACTGCACCAGATCAATTTCAATAATACAACATCCGTAAGGTCACGCTCGTACCAAAGTACTGGCTATTAGACTGGGGAATCGACCCAGTGGTATTAATGACAATAAAGGTACCAGTTCTACTGCATCAGATACACATTTCGACAGTCACAGTCTCTTCGGTGATGCTCGAGGACAAAATATTTGAAAATTCAAAATTTATAAAAAAATTAAAGACCTGGCAAAACCAAAATGCACAAAAAGTATAGCCGAAGCTGGACAAGGAATAGGAGCATTACATGAGGGAGATATATTCTTTAACTAAGATAATTTCCAAAATTTTGTAACATCTAATTTTCAGGCAGAAGATACATGTAGCAAAGGGACAGTCAAACTCCTATGTTGAAGACAAACTGACAACACCATGACATAACCGTATCTACTCCTTTCTATAAATGGTAGTCATAAAGGATGCAAGCAAGAGTGATTTATTTTAAATTCAAAGGGACAAAACTCAATATATTGAACAGCTCTTCATCATTTGACTCTTACCTTGACCGTTTCCATGCATAAGTGGGTATAGTCATAGACATATATACATATGTATATATATGTCTCTGGTATGGTTGACACCCACAACTGTAAATATTATAAATCGTATGCAATATAAATCATTCACTTCATTTTCCCATCATATTTTCCCATCATATTTGTTTTTAAAGTTCTTAATTGAAAAAAAGGTTAAGCTAGCTATAAAACCATATAGTCGAGCGTTTTATCTTCTCAGGGTTGATGGACTTCCCCGTTTTTTTTTTAAATTTACATTAGAGTTCGGTATTTTTGTTTATAATTTTTTTATACCCTCTTGGGAGTTTGAAACCAGGGAAAAAATGAATTCCTTGTCAAAAAATTCTACATGCCAAATATTGTAATTTTACCTCCTATAATCTAATAAAATATTTTAAATCTTCCAGCTGTATGTTGAAAATGTGATCAAGTTTGTATTTCAGCTTTCAAATAGAAAAAAATATCCTTATTTTTAGTTTAAAATGTTATAGATGTGTCAGTAAAAGAGGGACGAAAGATACCAGAGGGGCAGTCAAACTCATAAAATGCACCAATCTAAGAAATGTAAAACAATTGATCCCACCTATCTTTTGCTTTCAGAAGGTTCTTATTGACTAATGTACTAGTTTACAAAAGCCCACTAAAGCCTTCAGAAGGTTCTAATAACAAAACACAACTGGTACAAACAAATTGTGCATTATTGGAAAGCTTCAAAAGCTTCAAATCCAAAGCATCTTCACATATAACATATATATTTTATATATTTTTGTTGTTGTTGTTGTTATTGGTTTTGGTAGGCGGCTTAATAGTAATTGCGCCTTAAATTCATATAACATAAATATTATGTATATAAACTCACTTAATATATACTAGTTAACAAAAGTAACGATACATAAGTTTGAACTCCAATTTATCATAGAATATAATAACTATGAAAAACTGTATAAAGTATCCAATGAAAAACATTCATTTGCAAAGCAAATGCATATGATTAAAACAATCTGACCAAATTGGGCAATTATTTACCTTGGTACAGTGTATCCAATTTCATTATAAATGGAAATACATTGTCCTTGACCTCATTTTCATGGTTTAGTGACTACTTGAAAAAAAAAATAAAGATTTTTTGTAATGTTAATTTCTCTCTTATTATGAGTAATATGATAACTTTAATAGGTATGTGCGTACCTTGCAAGGTCCTCAAGTCTGTCAGACAGTTTTCTTATGAACTCGACCTCATTTCATAGATCCGTGAACAGGTTTAAGTTTTCGTGGTCAGGTCCATATCTCAGATACTTTAAGCCATAGGTCTACTATCTTTGGTATATGAAATGATTGTAAGGTGTATATGTCTGTCTGGCAGGTATGATTGACCCTTGACCTCATTTTCATGGTTCGTTGGTCAATGTTAAGTTTTCCTGATTAAATTTGTTTCTTAGATACTATATACAATAGGTCAACTTTATTTGATGCATAGAATTATTGAAGGGATGTACATGTCTGTCTGGCATGGTTCATCTGACCTTGGCCTCACTTTCATGGTAATTTGTTCAATATGAAGTTTTCATGGTTTGGTCTGTTTCTTGTATACTATGAGCAATTAGTCAACTATATTCGGTGTATGGAATGATTGTAAGGTGTATATGTATTTCTGGCTTGGTTTATCTGACCTTGATCTCATTTCCTTGGATCATGTTAAGTTTATGTGAAACTCGTAGTAAAACTTTAACATAAAATCATTGGTCAGTAAAGCAGGCGAGATATTTCAGTGTGTGCACTCCTGTTTTTTAAAATCAAACAAAAACTTTAATTTGGACACCGATTTCGACCAACTTAAAAACTGGGCCAAAATAAATAATCTAATTACATGTTTAGATTCAGCATATCAAAGAACCCCTTGAATTCAATTTTTGTTAAAATTAAACTAAGTTTAATTTCAGACCCTTTGAACTTAAACGTGAAAACTAATAGCTCATATCTAGGTTGAATAAAATTTTTGGTATGAAATAATTATTTGTTTACCCTGAAATAAAAAAATGACTATATGTAATGCTGGCAAATCTATATAGGAAAGCTTAACAAGTGTACATTAAATATGAGTTTGAACACACTATTGTACTTGACACAGTAACATGAAATAAAATGAAGTCCCTATCAACCAGAAAATGGGAAAAAAATCTATGTAAAATGTTATAGAATAAGAGTAGTAGGTTATTTTCATAAGTAACTTAACTATAAACGAGAAGAGATTACACAGAAGACCTTGTGTATTGCCTTCACACAGGGTATTAGAATCCGAAACCACAGAAGGATCTGAATCCTAAGGAGCAATTAATGAAAAGTCTGTAGCAATGGAAGGTAAAACCTGGATCGGATTCCCATGGAGGAATTTGGCTCCGTGGGAATTTTATCCAGAATTTACTTCCCCACCGTTACAAACTTTTCATTAATTGCTGCTCGGGATTCGAATCCCTCTGCAAATTTCAGATCGGAATACACGGTGTGCTGCAATGACGTCTTAGTGCTGTCAGTGTTAAAGAGTTATATTGATTGTAAAAAATAAGTATTTAGTAAAATAAAGAAAGGCGAATGTTAACGTAAATAAATGAAAAAAATGCTTAGGATGAAGAATCTTTGCATATATATAAATATATATATATACATATATATATATATATATAATAAGCAAGTCTAAAAGGGTACAACATCACCAAAAAAATAGTAAAATCATGAACAAATATTTAATATTTCGGATAACTAATATCCTTCATCAGTAAGATGTCAAATGATTTGACATGTGGTAGTTGAACTGAAATAATGATCTTGAACACCATACAAATTATCACGAATCAATACGCTGGTAAATTTTTTCAAATTTGATGTTTGGTAGGAGGAATAAATTCCTTAAAACTGTGTGAGTCCTTTACTGAAGCCTGAGTTACAGGAAACAAATGATGGTAGGGATTCATTTTATGGTTTTCCATAACTGCCCTCTGGGGAAACTGTCCTCAACTTTCTTATCCAAAAACTTTCCCGAGCAAGTCTGTCGGTCCTTGACCAACCCTCGTTGTGGTCTATGATAGTGATGGTAAGGTTTTTGAGATCAGCTTGGGGTTGCACAGGTGATCTCAAATGACGACTTACGGGGAGGTCGGGCTTGCAGGTGTACCATTTATGCGTTTGTTGAATGGGTGTTCTGTCTTGCCAACATACTGCATGCCACATCGACACTGAAGGAGGTATACAACATTGGTTTTGCAAGTAAAATTGCAATATGTAGTGTATACGGACCCAGTGGAGTGGCAAGTAAATGTTTGAGTATTCAGTATTTGTTGGCATCAATCCTAAGCATTTTTTCATTTATTTACGTTAACATTCGCCTTTCTTTATTTTACTTAATACTTATTTTTTTACAATCAATATAACTCAATGCCCAACACAAGTACAAAGTTGAAGAGCATAACTTTTACGACAGACTGAACTTTAATATTGACAATGCCAATGTAGGAATGTAGGATCGCTATAGCTATCTCTTGCCTGTTTTCATATCCCTGCAAGTAACACAAACAGACTGAAAATATTTCATAGTGTACCTTTTTAGCATCTTTTATCTCAAGAACAGTAAGAGCTACAGTAAACCAGTCAAAAGAATCCAGGAAATTAAATGAAAACCTGCATCAATATATTGCTTGAAAATACCTAAAAGAAATGATAGAAAATTACAATTTTGGATTATTTTGAATCCCATTTTTATTTGAAAATTAAAACCAACTCAACTCAATCCTCTAAAGTGATGTAGATGTGTAAAGCAAAATATTGACCTATGCAACATTGTCCCCCAAAACAATATTTCATGACTTTCCATCATGAAATCTTGTTCTCAACTATGAAATACTGTCCAAAGAAGGACAACTTTCCATATAAATTATGTCCATAATGTATAATCATTGGTAACTTCAGTGTTTATATATAATTACTAAAATTTTCAGGAATTATGCACAATCACTAGAAAAAATGTCAGGGATTGCACATAATAACTGGAATGAAGACAAAATGAATAAAAGTAAAACAATTTATTCTATAAAATTTAAACTAAACATCTTTAGAAACATAAATATTACAATCTTAAGCACATTATACAATATTCTAATACAAATCATTTATTCTTACTAACTACATTGTAAATATAAATGACATCTACTACGAGGGTCTGGATGGGGATCTCTTATTTGTTTATTCTTGTATTGTTTAGATATTTTTTTCTTTTTCTCTAAGCTATATTTATTTTGCTCATTATTCTCTATTATGTATATTTTAGCACACTATTATTCTATATTCTTATTTTTTCGGTCTATTTTTGTCTATTCTTAATTTTTTAGCCCTTTATTCTATTGTTTGCCTATTATTTTCTATTTGGTAAACCCCATCCCGACTCTTTACTATTGAAAATTTGCTCTGCTTATCCTTTTTTTTTGGCAAACCCCCACCCCCTAAAAAAACCCTTAACCTTCACATATTGAATCTGATTTTACTGCACTTTGATGAAAAATAAAGGGTTCATTAGAAACATCTGAAGGTGCTAAAAAGGTCAATCAGACATCTCAAATTGATTCCTTGTGTATTATCTAAGCATAATTTCATGTTTCGTAGTCAGGCAATATCCTTTTCAGCCCTTTTATGAACGATGGCCATTATGTTTTTTGGGTCTCCCTTTTCAAGATCAACATACGGAATCGGTATATCAGCCTCCTCCACAATCGTCTTCAATCTGTCAAGCATGTGTTTTGTTTGTGTGTCTGGACGTTTAGATGCATTTCTTTGCTTAATTCGAATTCCTTGTTCTCAAACTCTCAATCCATTTGTTGTACGGCAAGTTACATGATCTGTGCATTTATGCTGGTGTTATTAATTTCAACTTAGAAAGCTTATTTGTTTATGAGTTAATGTGGTTTAACACAGTTGAATAGAATATTCTCAGAAAAGATGTTCATTTTAATAAGATTGATAAATGGACAAGGAATGAGAACTGTCCACTTAAACAATAAAGAGGTGATACATATGATTTATTTGTACCAAACAGAGAATCTTTGTATTATTGATAATCCCTGAAAATATTACAGGGAATTTGTAAAATAATTCTTGATATTTTCAGTGATTATGTAAATTCACTGGTCATTTTCAGGGATTATATTTAACCACTTATGATTTTAGTGATTATGCATAATCCCTGATTTTACAAATTTACTGTCACATATATAAAGACAATATTTCATAGATGGATTGTCATGAAATTTGTCTCATGAAAAGGAGAATATAAACATTTGTTATTTTGGATAATGATATTACATGTAACAGTATTCGTCCATACCAATTTTAAGCAAATTAAGTCGTCTCGCAGGCCTCCAGATTTTTTGGAAAATTTAGTGTTCACCCCAAGAACCGGTTTGGCTACAACATAACAATTTCAAGTTTATTTACAATTTACACAGTGTGTATATGTTAAGGATGTTTAAATGAACATATGTTCTCATAGTTTAGGACTTTACTCATTATAGGTTGAAAAATACAGGCAAAGTTTCGATGTTTATGAAGTGTCCTATATTTTGACTTTAGTGGAACCTTAAGGTGTTTTATTTGATTGAAAATAACAAACAAACCTTGCATAAATATTTTATAAAATAATTATGGAATACACACATACTTTTCAAATAAAATATTAAAAACACTCACAATTTCCTGTTAGGAAAGACATAATTGGATTAAGAAATATTTTTCAAGGACAGTGTTTCACAGTGAAATACTATCATGGACAGAATTTTATAGTGAAATATTGTCAAGAAGGAGGTGATACAATTTCATGGACAAGGACACTATTTTATAGTGAAATACTGTCCTTTACCGTATTTCATGATGAAATAGTGTCCGCGAACATTTTTTCATGGGAGACATTATTTTATATTACAGATAAAAGGTGCTTATTAAGAATTATAATTAGTTTTCATATGTAGTTGTTAAAATTTCAAATAAATTTCAGTTCATAACGGTGGCAAAACAAAAGTGTAAAACATACATGTATCAAGATTTATGATCAATGAATGTCTATGAACATTTGTGTAAGAATAATAATAGAGTTATCTTCCCTATCAATCCTAGATACAAGGAGATAACCCATGGATATTCCTTCGTTAACAAAAAAAGAAGTCACCAGAATATAATTTCAGACTCCACATTGCGTACACATGTACGATTTAAATTTTCTTATGATCAAACAAAAGTATTGTGGTTCAAATATACCCTTTCAACAAGTCGAAAGACTAGAAAATTGTCAGAAAATACAGACAGATTTCATCACTAACATCCATTAAAAATGGCAGTAAAACATTCAAATACATTTGTAAAGCTCATAGCTATATATAAAAAAAAACATTTTTTGCAGAAATTTGCAACCTAAAATGATGAAAAATCATTATAGCATGAGACTACTAGTAATATATAAAGAAATTGTATAAATTATTTTGGTTTTGCATTATTTTCATACATAAATATTTCTAGATTTAAATCTTTAAAAAATATTATAAAATTAATTGATGTAAACTTCAGTTAAAATACTTCTTTGTTTCTCATGTCTATTACATTTACTTTATAGAACCTCAATATCAAAATGCTTTATCCTCACAAAATTGCGGACATTTTGCTTAAATTTCATTGCTTTATTCCCATATTTAAAATGATCTGAATAACACACTTCTGGTCATAGATTACACAATAATATATCTTTTTTATTCTATTTTGAAAGGTAGGTTATTTAATAATTTGATTCTATATCATCTTAACACTCGTACATGTAATATGTGTAAGGTTAAGTCAGGCCCAAAAAAATATAAATGAGTAATATTGTATCACACAATATTCTAATTTTAGAGATGAAAACATTTTTCTTTGTAAAAAAATTCTTTCATCTCAATAAAACATTTTCATTCTCAATTCATTAATTTCTGTTTCTTGTTGTTCTGTTATAATTACATATTCTTGTTTTTGTCTTTGAAGCAGTGCTATTTCACAATTTGTGTCACTACTACTTTGATCAAATCATATTTTGGAGGCCTGTTGTATTCAAATAACAAAATGCCTGCAGCGATTCCATAACCTATTTAGTGATGTGATATTGATATTTCATTCCATGTTGTTTAGACACTGATATAAGAAAACTTTGTAGGCACAAAATAATGACATTTACAATTAGTTTAGTATAAAAGCAGTTTCTTACATTATACATTACACTGATTAAAGAGAGGAAGACAATCTGCCTGCTAAACTTGTATTTTTCCTCTAAATCAATTATTTTTCTCTTCAGTTCTTTAATTTGAGTGTCTTGTTCTTCTGTAGTCATTCCATGTTCATGTGTTTTTCTTTGAAGTGTTGCTATGTCAACATTTCTCTTTTCTTCCTTGATTTGATCAGTTTTTGAAGACCTCCTGTATTCAGCTAACAGAAGTCCAGCAGAAATTGCATATACTAATGTTTCACCAACTATTTTGGTTCCTAAATCGTACGCTTGTTCGTCTGATAATTGTTTCACTGGTAATATACTTTGTGATCTTGAAATCATTAAATTATATCCTGAAAAAATTAAAATGCAATTAAAAACCTATCCTAGATCTTAACCTAAATTATGAAGTCATCTATTTAAACATGAAGAGTTCAAGGAGCCTTTGGTGATTACTTGGAACATAAGTGTCACTGGAATCTGTCAAGAATGCTGATTGAACCTGATATTATTTAAAATACATTTGATATACAAATCGCATAGACTTACTTTTTATATTGTTTCTACGAGAGTAGCAACATCATGGTATATACTATATTAGGTTTATTTCCATTGAAGAAAATTGTCTCTACTTGTTTAATGTGTAGAGGGAAATAACTGAATTGTGTTTCTTAACCATAATTTCCCCCAAAAAATCTTCTGGTATATGCAACCGAAATGGACATAGTTTTTAAAGAATTTTCAGGTCACGTCAAACAGATTTTTATGCTTATTCCACACCTTCATAGAGTTTCTTTTACTTTACTTAACATAGCATTTCAGAATGTTTCTTAAAAAATCCTAGAAATTCTAATAATAAGAAAAGAATGAAGAAATTAAAACTTCTTCTGTCGCCATAAATTATGAAAAACTATTTCAAGAGACCCAATTCAATATCTGAACAAAATAGGGTCTTTTGTTAACCTATAAATAATACAGCTGGACAGAAATTACAATACATCCACTGTAATTTCAATTTTAACTTTTAACAAACGATTATGCATGTCCTTAACCTTGATTTGCACATAAATTGTTTTTAGTTGTAGTAATAAGAGTCATTTCAATAATTTCCTTAAAGTCACTACTGGTTGAAATCCTGGCTAAATCCTTCTAGTCAAGACATCTTACATATTTAACTTTAAAAAAAATCAGATATCGTTAACTACAGTTAATGCTGCTTCAAATCACTACCGATTGGGCGTTTTAGTGAGCGCCTCAGATTGGACTCGGTAATAAACAAAAGGCAGAAGTATTACCAGAATACTTTACTACTGTCTTCACAAATGAACCGCAAAGAGGGATCCCTGAACCTAAACCAATCTTCATACATAATGAAATGGAAGAGCTAAAATTAGCAAAGAAAGGGTATTGAAACATCTACGAAAATTTACTAACATCCAAGATTGTTTAGATAAAGGAAGGTATAGCTGAACCCTTAAACTTAATTTTCAGCCAATAATTAACCAATAAAGCAGTCCCCAAAGAATGGAAAAATGATCTAGTGAATGCTATTTTTAAAAAGGAAATACATCACAAGCTAAAAACTACAGGCCTGTAAGTCTTACTTCAGTAGTTTGTAAAATTATGCATGTTATGGAGAAAATCAGAAGAGAGCATGTAATTAGTCACATGAAACTTAATAAATTATTCTCAAACAGTATGGCTTTATTTCGAAAAGATCAACTGCTCTACAACTAATAGTAGTAATCAATAAATGGATAGAAGCCTTAGAAAATGAATATCAGGTAGACTGCATATATACAGACTTCATGAAAGCATTCGACAAAGTACCTCGTAGGAGACTTATAAAGAAAATTGAAAAATATGGAATAATTAACACAATATTAGACTTGATTACAGATTTTCTAACATATTAAAAACAAAGAGTTTCAGTGAATGGTGAAACATCAGACTGGAAGGGGGTTACAATCGCAATACCCCAAGGCACAGAATTAGGCCCTCTGTTATTTATTCTTTACATAAATGACTTACCAGATTGCATTAAATCGGATGCCTACTTATTCGCTGATGATACTAAAATTTTCAGGATCATAGAAGATAAGAGTTACCAAGATATATTACAAAATTATTTAAATCAGCTAGAAAAATGAAGAAATACATGGCTTTTGAAATTCCACCCTGAAAAATGCAAACAGATTAATATAAGTAGAACTGCAAGAGACGAAAGCATATCATACAATCTATTAGGTCAAAATATTAGTAGATACAAAGAAGAGAAGTATATAGGCGTAGTTTTAGACGAAGATCTATCATTTGACAAACATATTTGCGAAAATGTGAATAAAGCGAATTTTTGCTGCACTAAGAAAATCTTTTAAATTGTCTTTCCTCTATACAAACCATTAGTAGGAACACAGTTAGACTATGCTAGTTCAGTATGGGCACATTTTAGAAAAAAAATGTGTATTGATAAAATTGAGAATGTACAAAAAAGAGCAACACGACAGATACCAGGTTTCAACATTTCAAGTTACACAGAAAGACTGAAGAAACTTAGGCTACCGACACTGTCATATAAAAGAGTCAGAGGGGATATGATAGAGACATTGAAAAGATATTAAAAAGAAAATACGACCCAGAAACCAGTACATTTCTCAAATTAATAGCAAATACAGAACATAGAAATAGTACAAGAGTGAAAAGTAATCAAATCACTCAACGAAGAATCAAAACAAGTTTGAGGAAGAATAGTTTTGCATTAAGAATCGCCAAAATATGGAACAAGTTACCATATTAAGTTATACCCTATCAATAAACGCTTTAAATAATAGACTGGATAAGCATTGGGAAAACGAATAAATCTATTATTTTGATTATCGAACTCAACTAACCGGAGGTAGCAACAGCAATAATAGAGATCAAAACACAATATATGAGTCTGATGAAGAGTTACAGTGAGGATCCTGTACCGGAAAAAACATTAAGTAAATTATATCTTGACTTACATCTGAAACTGTCAAGGAGGCTCATTTGAACAATTTTACAAAAAAGAGATAATATGATTTTCCCAATTTCTATCTAGCAACCTTCGAGCATCGCATCTTTGTAAAGTTTATATGTCCAAGTTCATACAATATTCCAAAGCTTGCGTTTCTTTTCATGAATACCTCTATCAAGGATCGTTACTTTCCATGAAGGTATTAAATCATGGGGGTTTTTTTTTTTTGCCATGTTTTTTTCTGTTTGCGTCTATATCTATTTTGTTTAATGTAAATGTAGTAACCTGAGCGTTATTGTTGTGTTTTATAGACGACGGAAAGAAAACAAAAATAAACTAAGTACAAGGGCTATTTTAAGTAGGAAATGTTACATAGACACTACTTATCTATTGTTGAAGACTGTGTTGAAATATATATGTCGTCTGGCTTCTTTTGTATAGTTTGGTTTCTGTTTATTTGACGTGTACCAAACATCGCCTTAAAATTTAGAACAAATCATGAGAAATCATTTATTAATTTGTTAATGAGTGCGGACAATAATAAAAATGAACGTTTTGGACACATTCCACATTATATTAAAGAAACATAGTTGAAGTAAAAGTCAGACTTATGTTATATCTAGTATCAAAAAAGTTCATTATGAACATTTGTTGTAGAAAAACAAAGAAACTACAGATACATTTGTTTGAAGATTAGTTTATGTCTATCCAGGATCACTTGCTAGACAAAAAAAAACCAGAATTAATATCAACAGTATCACAGACAGGCACCTATTTATAGAATTTATAGACATCTCACACTAGATGAATTTTCAAAAAAACAATTGTATATTTGGTCCTGATTTTTAACTACAGAAAGCATAATTTTGAAATTAAAATTGATGATGCAAACAAGGATAACAGTCAGAAGAAAACTGAAACAAGTAATTTTATTCAATATTCCTTTAAACTGGGAATAACAAGACTATAACTCAAAAAGTCCCATACCTTTCCAACAATGATATTGTTAAGGGGTATTCTGGTTTTGCCCTATATATAAATAAAAAGAAATTTTATTCTAAATTCTATTCTTAGAAAAGGGTTTGCAATATAAATACAGAGTCTGCTCTTTTAAATATAAACAACCGTAGTTTACCGATGTTCAAATCTTAAATCGATTAAAAAGACAAATCAAGGTAACAAACATAATAGGGCAATCGCATGAACTCCAAGACTGGATGCGCCAACAGGGTAGGCATCTCATACTAAGCATGCATTACTTGTTATGCGAATCGACACACTCGATCAAAATGTCACCATTGGTAATGGAATAAAACCAATAAATCTACAGATTAGACGACTATTCTGGTATCTAGATATCTAACACTGCTAAAACACGTCGCCAGTGAGTGGAGATTCATGAACCCATGTTTCAACTCCTTTTGCTATGCATGCATCGTCTGCCATGCGAATCATCACTCAGTCAAAATGTGTCAATCGGGAATACACAGTTGAACTAGAAAGAATGAATATAACATGAAAACCAACTTTAGGACAAGCAGGTGATGATGGTTAATGAAGCTTAGCGTCCAACAGCGATTATTACATGCATTGTTGTTTTATACCCTGCGTTTAGCTAGACTGACTCAATGATTCAAATATTAATGGGAAAGCCCATAAGGTAACGGTTAGCAGGACACATTATCCTCTCTACGAGCCTACCAGTCTTTACTCATTCACCATACTGATGTGTGCAAGGCGGGGAAATAGCAACTGCAAAATGAAAAGTTTTTTGTTTGATGTTATTGTGAATCGGATTAAACACCTCCCACGCAAAGGGCCAGCCGTAAACTGAGACCACTGAGACCACTGAGCTTGTTCTGAGCTAAATAATTGTCAACATGCACTTTAATCCAACAATTGGTAAAAAAAATTGTTTTTAGAACTTTTGAATCATTTATCATAATTTATTAATAGCGACGAATATAAAGGTTGCATTTTGTTAATACAGCTGTTTCACAAACCATGCCTCTTTTGGGGAGATATATAATATTCAAATATATTTTGTTTTGTTTACCTACTGGTTCCCAGATATGATTCTATTCTATATCTCATAGAGACACAAATTGGAAATTTTACTAGTATAAATACCCATGGATAGCCGTCAAATTGAGTTCTGAGGAAGACCCAAAGTGAAGGGAGGGGTAGTACAGAATTTAAGTATAAGTTTAAACTCTTAGAAGTTCGGGGTATATGAATGTTGAAAATATGCCGCACAGCCCTATGGTTTGCCCTTTGTAAAAATATTAGAGCATATAGGATATAATTTTTTACGAAACTTCATTGTAAAAGTGGCACAATTTTAGTAGTAAAAGGAGATTCTATGGGAAATTGCATTGTCTATATTTACAGAAGTGCAACTTTTATAGAGTGTGAAAAAAAGAATACAAGAAGAATTTCACCAAATCTGGTTTATTTTTAGAGATTTTAATGAAATTAACTCAAATATAAAGATAAATAAATATTTCATGAAGATTGAGAAAATCCTGTGCCTTAGATATGATAACTCAGCATAAATTCACAGTTTACAGTATGCATAGTTTACATAAAGCCCTGTATGCAAAGTAAATTCATAACATATGCATATATGTAATTTAAATTGTTAAGAAGTTCTTATATTTACTCTTCACAGTCATTGAAACTTATAGATCCTTGATGAACATTGTTGTTGGGGTGTTTTTGTCCTGTCGAAAACCCATAAGTAAGCCGCAACACCTGCCTGTGCTTTTTTGTGACTGCGGCATAACAAAGTACAAGCTAGAGATACAAAAATACCTCTATAAAACTAACAATAGTGTGTTCTATCCTAAAAATATATATGGATCATACATCAGATGATTTAACCTGTAAAGGATATGATTTTATTAATATAAAGGTCTTTTGTAAAGACAACAATAAACTTGCTTTGAAGTTATGCAAAAATTAGATTTTAGCAGTCAGTTCTATAAAACTTTTAATCAATTTATATATCAAACTGGTAACTTCATACATACAACTTTTGCAATTATGGCTTTGTTTAAAGATGATACTATTGTGGCAAGATTTCTAAACTGAACATTTGAGGCAGAAAGTGTGAACTTTTATAGATAAATGGGCATACAGTAAGATGTGGACTGGAGACAGAGGCAGAATTGGATACTTTATATAATCTTGAATGTTGGAATGCTGAACTATTAAACTTTGCAATTATAGTATTCTGAAATGCTTTCGATTTGTTATCAGAGGAGTTTCATACAGGTTCTAGACATTTCATTTCAGAAAACATGCACATAGGGTAAGCTAACAATAATTAAAGTCTTGGTTTCAAATTCTTTATAAATCAAAAATTGAAACAGGGGTGGGGATATCAAATGTACTGTTAAAGAAAAGTTACACGCAGTGATTTCTTTTAGGCTTTTGATAAATGTAGAAATTAAACTAAAAATCCAAAAAACTTCCACAGGCAAAGTTTATCTTAGGTGAATTTAGTTATTTGTTTTCTGTCCCTTTTTGCTATGTAGCTTCTACCATTTATAAGTTATAATACATCTCTCGCTTTAAAATGTTAGTGTTTGAGCTTTCCTGGTGATGGTAAATTAAGAAAAGCGCTTTGGACGCAATGAAATTATAAAGTGTTTATTTCATTTACTAGATTTACATGTATCAACAGGAGACAAATTAAACGCTCCAATCAGGGATCACTGCATTGTCAAAGTGAGAAAAAACTCTTAAGACAACATTAGTCGTCTCTAAACTACGTAATCATATACTAGTTTGTACCAGAGTCTAATTGTATATTCACTTCATTCAAGATTAGTACTCGATGGTCAATCTGGGGTTGGCATTAAAATATACAGAAACGACTATATCCTAATAAATCAAACCAACTTACACCTGAAAAGCTGAAAAATTTATAAGTAAAAAAAAACACCAGACAACGCCTTGAGCAAGAAGAAAAAATAACGAAAAGACAAGCAACAGGAAAATAAGATGCTGTATGGTTGCCAACTAGACAACCATCTACAAGAGACAAAATTAAGTGGAAGTAAGCAACTATAATTCCGCCTGTTAATTGTAAAATAATGAACTGTAATTTGTAAGCAACAAATATTTGAAGAAAAAAAAGAGAAAAAAAACGTTGGTTGATATAGTCTTATGTTTGATTTTGTCAGGTTTTATGGACTTTCCCTTTTTGAATGTACCTCGAAGTTCGGTATTTTTGTGAATACTGTTTTACTACACCGTTGGTTGATATAGTCTAACGTTTGATTTTGTCAGATTTTATGGACTTCCCCCTTTGTTTTAATCAACCTTGAAGTTCGGTATTTTTGTTTATTCTTTTTACACACAAATACACATTGTTTAAATTTCATGCTTAACTGTCCCTGAGCGAAATGAAAGTAGACATTTTATTTCTGAAATCTTGAATAAGTTACATATATGTTAGTAGCATGAATAAAAGGTAATTTTATAATTCTTACTTTGTGCAACTCTTTCAATGACTGCACGAAACTGAGGATTCTGCTTAATCGATTTACTAAATCTATTTACAACTGGTCTTATATTCTCTTTGATAAATAAAGTGACCAAATGAAAAATTGGCAAATTTACATTTTCGTCTTCTTTGGGGTTTGACGATCTTCTTTTTTTAATTCTTCTTGAAGATTCTTTGACAAGTAATGCAACACGTTGAAGAATCAATTTTGCTATTGGCCATACCATGACTGAATACCTTCGACTGCATTGAGGTGAAACGGTCGTATTTACTTCCCTGAATCTAATGAAGTCTCGGTTATCCTAACGCTTTACTTTTTGCAAACAACATCTAGGTTTTTCTCTAGCCTGGGATTCTATTATTATCAACTGGGTGAACAAAAGAAGTCCATCTGTATGACTTGTATTGCCGGGGAAAAGTAGGAAATCCGTTTAAGTATACCATAAATTTTAAATGATGCATAAAAAGCATGTTTCTCATGGTAAGTAAATATTCGGTGTTAAGTCTAATGAGGTAACTATATCAAATATCAAGAAAATGATGACGGGAGTATGGCTTTGACAATTGGAAAATTCCGTAAAAGATCTGTCTACGTTGACGTTTATTACAACTTTTCCTCAGATTGTCACTTTTCTAAATATCTTAGTAAAGCTGATTGAAATTTTTTTCAAGATAAGCGGAAAATCTTAAACAATGTTGATATGAAAGAGAAGTGACTATAGATAGCAATGATGAGTTCTATTGTCTTAATTTTCAAAATTTTCCTAGCTCTGTCCCATACTGTTCTTATATTGAAAAAGAGTGGCGACAGATACCAAAGGCTGGAGATAGACGGAAAAATCATGGCAAAAAAAGAAAAGCCACAATTTACAATCACGACATAAAAAAACTAAAGATTAAGCAAGACAAACAACACAAAAAGCCGCATGATTAAAACAAGAATAAAGAATTAATAACATTATGGATAAATATCAGTTCAAAACGTCCCTACATTTGGGAAACGAGAGATTTCCTGTTTTTATGGAGGTAAACAACTTATCCTACAGTTTTCAACGATCAGCAGTAAGACTTCTTAAATCTCTCTCTAGTATATATATATACATTGAAAATGAGCACTGCAATTTGTGTAACCTAAGACTTAATGTCCAGATGGTCAAACCAGGTCAATTTACAATAAAGGAAGGTCCCAATTGTCAATAACTCCTCCAACAATTTTAAATAAAATTGAAAATGGAAATGGGGAATGTGTCAAAGAGACAACGACCCGACCATAGAGCAGACAACAGCCGAAGGCCACCAATGGGTCTTCAAGCATGCAAACTTAGCAAATTTCTGTATTTAATTCTTTGGTAAAACAGCTGTTTAGGGCTTGACATAATAGTATTGATTCACTTATGTATAGTCGAAGACCTTATTTCGACCTGTAGATGTCGTTGAGTTGCTATTCCATTAATGTACATCCCACCCCACTGTTATTCGTATGATTATTTGCAAGTCAAGCAGGTTGATTGATAACAGATTTAATCTATGATAAATATTTAATGTCGCTTAGAAAAGATATGACCTGGCTGGATTATCTAAAAACATAATTAAGAAAATCAGTATTCAGTTCTTTGTTAGGAGCACATGTATTAGTTTTGTTTTTTTAAGTTAGCATCATCATTATTTGATCTAAAATTGAAAGTCAGCAAAACTGTAAACAAGCAAATTTTCAAGAGCGAAAGGACACGCGAATATGGATCATTGAGAATATGTCAGCATTCGATGTCTTGTTTAACAAATACATCAACAACGTTCGACAATCGCGAAAATAAATCGTCACAAAGTTCGCTCTCAAGGGCAGTTCGCGAAAATATCGCGAGTAACAAGATGTGGTTTAATTGTCAATGAGACAACGATTCATCAAAGTTCAATTAAAGTGGATAAAAGCAATTATAGGCAACCGTACGGTCTTCAACAATGAGAAAACCCCAATACGATTTGGTGTCCTTATCTCAACTCATGGGATACATGTTTTAGTGGTCTCCGATCATATCTGTCAACTTACCCATCCACTTAATTTGAACTTTAGTGGATAGTTGTCTCATTGGCAATCATATCACATTTCCCTATTTTTGTATTGATTGCAGGGTTTGTTGTTCGTGTTGAGTTGATGCTATTGAATGTGTCCCCTTGCTTGTAGCGATGCCCTTATATTTTACAGTTATGGGTGTTTTTCTTGTGAGAGAGCTGTCTACTAATAGTTTTTATTATTACATTTTTTTCTATTTCTTTAAATTTTAATTATATATATTTTATATTTACATCCACTTCATTTGAACTTTGGTGGATAGTTGTCTCATTGGCAATCGTACCACATCTCCCTATTTTTATATTATCTTCAGAATCTTCATTGAACTGCAAACATTTAAAAGGTCATTGTTTATACTGATTTGCCATTTTCGTTTGAAAAGTTCAAATATAATAAATTTGAATATAAAGGTAATTTAAATTTATCAACGGAAAGTGTAAGACATGTATGTTTTAAATCATAAAAATTTAATAAAATTGAGAATGGAAATGGGGAATGTGTCAAAGAGACAACAACCCGACCACAGAAGAGACAACAGCAGAAGGCCACCAACAGGTCTTCAATGCAGCGAGAAATTCCCGCACCCGGGAAATTTATTTTAGATACGTAATTTATGTCTGTCTGGTAAACTGTTATTTATGTCTGTCTGGCAAACTGTTAATTAGGGTATTTCGTTATTTCAAATTAGCACTTTTCCTTAAATACAAATGATAAGATTCTTGTATCGGTTTAACATGGACAAAAGAAAATTTAATCATATCAATATCATAGTAAAAGATTAAAAAAGGGTTATACTTGTATTGAAATGTGGAAAAGGACCTAGATCTAACTTTTCCAGGCAAGTTATCATATTAAAACGCAAGAAGTACAGAAATGATAAGAAAAAGAATGCTGCTATCTATGCCTGTTTGCATATGCCAATGGAGTCAGGTTGACATGTTGTGTCCACAATTCTATGAATAAACTGTAATAGCTATGCCTATAATGCATATGCCAATGGAGTCATTGGTGTTATTCATTAGAAAATTGGAGATTTGTAAATGGTTAATCTTGAATATTCTTCAATTTTTTATAAGCCCCTTACCAAGTTTCAACCTGTACATTTGGTCTAAACTATTTCAAATATATTTGCTAAAATTCAAATTAAAAGACTTTGCTTTTGCATTGTAAACAGGTTTACTGTAATTGATGCGATTGTTCACAACCTGAAACGGGAGTTTCAAACCTAATATACGTTGATGTTGTTCAAAGTTTAATATTAACAATAAAATATCGAGGTTCCTGTGTTAACTTGTATCTTTGGCAGTGCAACACAAACAGTTAAACACAAGTTGACTTATTCTCACAGATGGCCATCATCAACCCTTATAATTTTTCCTGTATCTACGATCCTACCTAATATTTCTCTATGTATTGTCTACAATGAGGAAATTTCATAATTAAGTCGCCCTATCGTATAGTAGATGGTCATATTCAGTGGAATATTGCCAATCATAGTCTGAAAGGACAAGATATTTGAAACGGAGATTTGATGGTCAATCGCCGGTTTTTCATACCAGGTTAGTTTTTCAGAATACCGAAAAAGGTCGAGTAGTTACGAATGAGAGAAAACGTAAGCTCGGATCATGGCCACATCTCTGTAACATACCATCGAGCAGTGAGTTAGAATCCTACGCCAGAGAAAGCAAAAATTATTTATTGCAAAAGTGAAGCGTCTGGGAAACCGCGACAACTAGTTCCCGGAAATCAAATACCACCGTTCCAACTCAATGCAGACGAAAATATGGTATTGCCAATCGTAAAATTGGTTACTTTACTAATCAGACAGTTTACACGACCAATTGTCCATAGACTTAGTGTATTGTCAAAACGAAATCAAACATTTCGTTCAATTATTGTGCCAGTTGCTCAAAGTAAGAAATGAATTTCAGAGTGCAGAAATAGAACATCTACTTTCACTTTGCTCAACGACTGTTAAAGATGAAATTTAAGCAAAAAAGTGAAAACAATTGTATATGTGTGTGTAAAGTTGCGTTTCTTTGAATCGAATTTACAAATAGAAGTCTTTTATTTAACGATTAAAAGGGAAGATGGAATAGTTTGTAAACAAATGTCTTTGTCGTGTGGGTTTTTCCAATAAAATAGGCCAAGGAAAATTTATTTTTACACATTTAAATCGTTACATTCCCAACATCTATGTGCAACATTTTTTTTTATTAATTATTTATGCGGAAAAATAGCCAAATTATAATCTTTTTCCTTAACTAATTGTCAGAAAATGTGAAGCTACTCTTCTTGACTTACTGTAGTGTACTGCAGTTTACTGATCGATTTTGGCCGACTTTCATAAAGCTATATAAAATAAGCTAAAACTGATAAAAAAAACTAGAAAAGAAAGAAACAGTAGCATAAATTTTGCCGACTTAGTATTCAGTTTTTACATCAGCTGGAGTTATTGTGAAAAATTTGAACATGCATCATTTGCATTTGAAAATTATTGTAAGCTACTTTCTAAGAAAACAAGCTTTCTTTATCTACCCGTGCTCCACATGATTATTTCCAGTTGGCCGATTTTAAGTCAATTTAGCGCTAATATGAAACAAAAAAGAATATCTTTTCAACAGTTCAGCAGGAAAAATTTATTTACTTTCGGAAGTTTATCCGTTTGTGTTCACCTCAAAACACACCATTCTAACCTTATGTAATGTGTTCTGCATAAGAACAATTAATGAGAAAATGTCATGTATGGCCGATTTCTAGTTAATGGTGGATGTACGGGCATATAGCATCATTTGGTTTTAGGTATTTGCACTTGAAATTTTGAAAATGATGTAGAGATTTTGCTCAACGGTAAAGGGTTAATCTGAACTATCTTTGAGACTGTTAGTGCGTGGCCTTTTCTATGGTCTAGGTATTTTTGTGTCTGAATATGTCCTTTTTAACACTAGACTTACCCTTCTGCAATGATGTGAATGTCCCGGACTTTGTTATACAATCTTGTATTTTCATGGTGACTGCTAAAAATTTATTGAAAGCATTCGTTTTCTTCGGCTTGATTTACTTCGGAGATACAGTTCCTCAATTTTTGTTTTAGGTTTTATATATATTATATTGATGGTTAAAATGTACATTGAATCAATTGCCAGAAATTGAGGTTTATGTATTTTATAAAGAATAAAAAAAATTCTGGCCTCTTTACGTTTGTTGTATCTCGAAAATCTCAATTTTGATAAATTTTTGGATTAAGTTCAAATTGATAATAACTATTATTAGCCTCAAAATTCAAATTCAGGTTCAGTACCATAAAAGTTTTTTTTTTTTTTTGGTATTCTTAAGTAACCAGCCTGTTAGACCTATTGGTGACATGTGTGTCATATTTGTGAAAAGGAAGGATTGCATTTTTTTAAATTATTTTTATGAATAATCTGATTAACAAAGAATTTTTAAGAAATATTAAAAAAAAAAAACAAAATACTTTTTCTTAATTGTGAAGGAATGGAATAAGCATGAGTGACATTAAAATTCTTAAAAACTGTTTTTTTCTACTGGTTGCAAACAACTGATGAAAACGTTTTTTTAGGACGAGGAACATAATTCAGCTCTGTCTCTCTTAACACAATTACCGAGGGGACAATTTTCTTCAGTTTGGTCTTCGAATTCAAATATACCAAATGAAATATAATACATTATATCATGACGATGGAGCTGTTTCTAGATATTGAACTGACAGTAAATTTGTGCAATTGATATAATTGCAAATGTATAACAAATAATATCAGACACATTAAGTATTATCAGTGACAATTATGTACTAGGTAATCAACATAAGCTCCTTGAAATTTTAAATTTTAAAATGATGACCTCTTTATTCCGATAAATCTTTATGATAGATTTTTAATTGTATTTTTCAGGGTATCATTCAATGGATTGCATAGTACAAAGTAAATTACTTGGTGTTGGTGAACGAGAAAAATCATTATCAGAAGATGAAGCCTTTGCCGTAGGTACAAAATTACTTGGAGAAACATTAGCTTATGCAATCTCTGCATCATTTCTGCTATATGAATACAACAGGTCTTTAAAAAGAGAACAGCACAAGGAAGAAAAGAGAAAGGATGAAATAGAAACACTTCAAAGTCAAATACATGAGTATGGAACGAGAACTGAAGCCGAAATTAAATATCTGAGAAAAAGAATAGTTGAATTAGAAGAACAAAATCTGAGTTTAGCAAATTATTTGTCCTCTTTAGAATCAGGATAATGTTCGATACAAGAAACGACTTTTATAATATTGTGCCTGTAAAATTTTACATGTATACTTATCTGAATAATGTAGAAATAGTACATAACTTTCAGAAGTTTGTTTTATATATGTTCAAAGAACAGTATTGGTAATTTAAGATGATGTGAAAATCTTTACTGACGTAACAAGTGGCAACAATTTTTTTGACTGGATTTTTTTTTATTATTATGTCGTATCCTATTTCTATTTCTGACGGAGATACACAGAAGTATTTGTAACTGAAACTCTTCAACAATACATTTATAAAACATTTTTCATTATATCCCTGCAAACAGAGTTTCAAAGGGGGTTTATTGAATTATTCTGTTCGCCAGTCCGTCAATCTATCCGCCTGTGTGTCTGTTTGTCAGCCTTTTCATGTGTCTTGTCAGTAATACTCTTCCTAAACGACTAGACGCATATTGAAAAGCTATAGAATAATACCTTAGGATTTATATAAAGGTAAATGATTTAGATCCTACATGTTAAAGGGGAGATAATCGAATTTGCTTATTTCAGGTAAGTGTTTGATATATTTTCTTTCCATAAGGGTTATTTCTTTGTGCAGATTTATGAAAATAACTGTTACACCTAAAATTACCAATGCTGGGACTACCCGACCCATTTCATTGTCAGATATTTTGCCATGATTCAGATATGAGGGAATATAGATTTTTAAGTGCCAGTTTTGAGTGGCTACAATTATTTCTGATAAGGTTTTTAAATTCTCTATTGGTATATATATAGTAGACACTTATATTTCACTTTTTATTTTGGAAAAATCATCCGTGTTTGAACGACAATTTAGACCTAAATTAAGGCGACAGTATTTAACCGATGTTCAAATCTCGTAAATCGATCAAGAAGAGACAAATCAAGGAAACACACAAAAACCGATATAATCGCACGAACTCCAAAAGAAGCGAGCCCGGGTTCGTCGACAGGGTAAGCATCTTCTGTTATGCATGCATCATCCGGCATGCAAATACCCACTCAGTCAACATGTCACAATCGGGAATAAGACACAAACGGTAAAATTACAGAATAGACGACTATGCTAGTTTCTCAATATATAAGACCGCGAAAAGTTGTCGTTAGTGAGTTGAGACACAGACGCATCGTATCTATCAAATAATTCGGGATGGTGATCGTACAACTAATGTAGTGCCGATTTTAGTCGTTCTTCCTCATAACTCTTTTTGAGCAGTTTTAGTGTAAGAAGCACGCACCTGTTAACCAATTCCGCTTTATGTGAACATGCACGAGCGTAGCGTATTAACTGAGATATGTTAACGTCATACAACGGAGCAGATGATATGTTACTGCTAAGAAATGGGAAGTTGACAATAAAAAAGTTGAAATCATCACGTTTTTCATAGATTCTAGTTTGAAGTCGTCCATCTGTGTCAATATCAAGGAAAATATCAGGATCTGGAGTAGATTTTCTACTTTTGGTAGTATCCTTAATACAAGGGTTTACTAGGACACCTGAACTTTAAGTTCGCATTAAATGTGGGTAATCGAGTGACAAGTAATCATCAATATATCTGAGAGTGAAATTAAAGAACTTAACAAGATGCTTTTTCTTTATATAATTGAGAAGGTTCTGTATGAATTCTGTTTCATACTCTTTTTTATGAGTCGATCTTTCAATCTTGCATGGGGAATAGAAGTATAAAGTGTACAAAACTCAAAGGTTTTGATATGACTGCACAATTGTAAACATTGTGATTTTTTTAAGAATCAACATCTGATTGACACCGCTGGTTGAATATAACTCATCACAATATTTCTTTTACTGTAGAAGTATGGTGTTCAGAACTTTAAAAAAGATGTTAAGTCGAACATTTTGACGACCATGTTGACGTTTAAGTATCAAGTGTAAAGATGGGAGATTTTTATCGATTCGTCCTTTTTTATGTTAATTCTAAAGGAGAGAAGGACTGATTAATGATTTTATAAAATCGACTCTTTCGTGAATAATGTAGGGTATATGTGTGATTCGTGATTTTGCTGTGAATGCCAAGTTCTTTAGAGGGCCATTCTAAATAATAATTTTGCAAATGAATACAATATTGTTTGAGGCTTTGTCTGCTGAAAGTCTGAGAATGTTAGTTTATCCCATTAACGCGGGAGAGTAATCCATAGTATAGCTTTAAAAATAACATTCTATTAGGAGTACAACAGTTGTTACTTTTAACGTCAAGTTTGTATATATCAAGACAGACATTCAGAGAGGTTTATTCAAAGATTCATTGCAACCAGGCAGTGTCGTTGCGGAAACTTTGTTTCACAACTGAAAACCAATGCGCAATCAAGCATGCTTCGTACACAGCAAACAAAAGTAGCCGTAAAACTGTCAAAAGAACAGAAATATATTTTATTGTACCGTATTACAATCTTATTCCACAGAACTTTAATAAATCTTTGATTTTGAGTTTTTATTTCATTAAACTTTGTCATTTCCCGATATATCCTTCAACCACCCTTTTCCAGTAAACCAACGATTCGCTGATAGCATTTTGAGTGCACGTGAAAGTCCAGTGACGTCATAAATTTAAAAAGTAGAACATATTCAATGAATTTTCAAGTTATTTTGTTCGTATATACAACAAAAGTCCATACAATCAAACTAAGATATATATTAATGTACACACACACACTCATACTTGAAATAAATTACAAGGAAAGTTCAGGAAAAATAAAGTAAAATAATTAGCTAACAAATTTTACTACTACGGGAGGAACAGATAAATATAATGCAATTACTAGCATCTCAAGATGGAAGACGCTTAAAAGCTGATGAATAGATTTTTCAAGTCCCCATTCAAGAGATAACAATTAATATATATGATATCTATGGCTAGATTTGACCAAGATGCATCCATAAAAGGAAAATAATTATTCCAGAAAAAGTCAGAAAAGATACCCCTTACTAAAATATTGCATAATGATAACTTTTTTAAAGGAATTGTAGGGATGACTGTTTCATGATGAGCTTTACTATGTGAAGGGCAAAATATTTAATGCAGCTTCAAAACGGTAATCATGTAAACATATCAAAAATTCAAGTTTCAATCTCGATTGTCCTGGAGATAGAGATTATGGAATACCCCTTACTGTCTTATTTGATTTTGAAAATAATTTAAAACAATTTGTATACACACTTTTAGTTTCATGATTAAGGGATGGGGTCAGTTGTTGCACAATGCACAATGAATTCAAGTGTTTATTTACATGTAGTTATAGGCTTTACTGCAGTGTTTGAATTCTTTCCTTTGACCTTTAATTAATGTTTCTGATCAAATCAGGAGAAATTGTAATGCATTCAAATTTGATTCTTCAATTTCATACAGGCCTGTTCATATAAACTCATTTATAGAAACCTTTGTTAGTTGAAATTTGTATTTTGGTACAATTTCTAATAAGCTTACTCTTAAATAAGTTTAATATGTAATTTTAACAATTTTAAAGGAAAATATTATTGAAACAAATCTTAAATCTTACGTTTTTAACAAAACTTTGATTGAATGAAGTATAGGAAGTCTTCTATCAATGATTTCATATGGTTCAAATCAAATAAAAAACAAAGCCGCCCGGCACAATCTTTTATTATGTTGGCCAATTTTTAATAACATCCTCTAAAACTACAAGGCCAAAAGTTTCGATGTTTTAAAAATATTTTGATTGAAAGACCATCTACAAACGATTTTCGATTAATTTATATCAAGTCGCAAACTAAGTAGCATGGATGACCTGGCACATAGTTCCTTTTTAAACCATTTTCATCATATCCGTGGAATTCCAAACTATGGTCCAAAATGTTCAAACGGACTAATTTGTTAGATCTGGCAATTTTTCAATATTTTTTTTTTTGGTTTAATTTTCTCCCAGCTTCTGATTAACCGTCTTTATTCGACCGCAAACGATGGGTCTGGTTTTACTCGAAACGCGCGTCTGGCGGACCAAATTATAAGCCTGGTATCTTTTTTTGAATTTTTACAAGTAGATTATGCTGGTTATGAGAAACCAACTATTTGAATGAAGTTTTCAAAGATGATATTCTGCATTTTCAAAGGCATGTATGGCTACAAATTATTACTCTTTTCAACATGTTACCAGAAAATAAGTCAATATTATGGACAGATGACAAGCAATGGATACAGACTCCTTGGAGTCTAGTTTCTATCTACGAATTTAAGGAGATATGTGAATCCACATTTAGAGGTCAACATACAGTCTTAACAAATAAGAAGTATTTTATTCAACATGTCAAGTTCCAAATCAACGCGAGTATTGAATAGTTGTAAATGAAATTGAGGCTATCAAACAACAAAACATCCGAAAAGACAAAAACATTTATATGAATATATGAATAACAAAACCCCGTACAAGGTTATTGACAGCGTGACAGATACATTTACATGTGTCGGAGTTTTTTTTTTTTTTTGTTTTTTTTTTAGTACTTAAGCCCACTTTAATCTGAATTAGTGAAATAAAAAAGGTATATATATATACAAAGAAGTCTAAATTGAAAACAACGTTCAAACCTATGATTGCGTTGGATGAAAACCGCAATTTTTATACGTGTGCATGCAAAACAAATTTCTTGGTAGAGGGGTCTAAATACAGCACAAACAACATTCTCCAAAAGACCCAAAAAGTGAAAAAGTATATTTTAACAAAACGCATTTGACTAACAGTTTGAACAACGGATGTTCTTAAACCCTGCTGACTGCCATGGCGATTGCAAAAATAAACGGATCACTAGATGTAACAAAATGAATCTTTATTTTTAATAGTATACTAAAGAGAAAACAATAAACTTACGGAAAAGATGGTATACCGCAAACATGAGGTGCAAAAATGTGTACATCATATCCGGATTTCGACAATTAATGTCTCTTCAGTGATGTTAGGAATCGAAACGGTATTTGGAAGGCCATATAATTTACCTCAATTGAGGATAGACTCTTTAATTTTGAAAAGTCGAAATAGGATGAACGGATCATTAAAACCCGAAGGTAAATATAATACAAGCCCAAACGAAAAAATATAAACAAGTCT